TCTTGCTTTTCAGTTAATTCAGTAGTAACTCAGGTGATGTTAAATCAGAATTATGGTGGATTATGACATTATCAGAGATGGCAGTTGTGTACTGCCTGTGATTGCACCTCAAGGATGGTTATTCTCTTTCCTGTAAGAAGTAAATATATTCCTAACACATTAGTAACAGCACTAAACGTAGCAGCAATATAACTACAGAGAAGTAGATTTTTACAAACCTTTTATTCCCATATCCCCACATTCTCCAGCAGGCCCAGGTGGACCCATTTGTCCTTCTTCACCTTTTACACCAGAGATTCCCATTGGGCCCTGTGTTCCTGGGAGTCCTGGGAATCCTTGGGGTCCTGGAATCCCTTTGCTTCCTGGGAATATGAAATGCTTTATTTACATTTCAGTCTGTTTCTACTGTTGCTGTCATATTTTAAGGAATGCCATAAAGCAAAATCAGGATGTTTAGAAGGATTTCTTAGGTGGCAGTTCTGCTGACCTTTCTCCTTACTTCTCAACATACAATCCCAGACTGCACCAGTAAATGAGATAGTCTGGATATAATAAAAATCATATTCCTCTTATTATAGCATACTCCAACATATTACAAATATCCAGGAAATAATACATGGAAATATATCAGTGTTGAAAAACAACTAAGGCACTAGGATGCACCAACATGCATCAAACTATTTCCATCCCTTTGTTTTTATCATAAGAGAAAGCTCAAGGAATGCTATGGTTATTGACTCTACCCTGCTGCAGGGTCTTATTCTTGAGGCTGGAAAGGAAGGAAGGTGTAAAATACTTCCTAGCTTTAACACCAGTAGAAATAGCTCCCTATACAAGAGAAGTTATAGATGAGGTGGTTTGCAGGACATCTAACGTACCTGTTTGCCCTGGGAAACCAGGTGGTCCTTTATTGCCTGGAAGTCCTGGAAGTCCTCGTGAGCCTGGAGGACCTTGGTGACCTCGTGAGCCCGGAGAACCTTTGAGACCTTTGATTCCAGGTAGCCCAGCTAGGCCTCTGTCTCCCCTCTGACCTTTAAAGCCTGGTAAGCCTGAGAAAAAGAGCTTTAATCTATGTATATAAATGCAGGAAAGGGTTCAGCAATTATATAAAAGAAGTAAAAAGTGAAAGATTTTGGTATAAATTTGATTATCACCAAACATGACAAAATAACTTGGAAACTTTGCTACTATGTTGGAGTCTTGGCCCTGCCTAGATTTTTCACTTGGAATGTTTTTGTTTTCTTGCATTTCATTAGTGACAGATGTTTCAGTAGAAGAGCACTGTGAAAAATCCTTGATTTGTAAATACTTTTGATATATATATAGATATATATAT